CTCAAGCAGTAGCCTGGGAGCTCTGTAGGGGGAAAGCCAGAGTCATGCCTAGAGTGGTGTCCATGCTTTAAACCCTACCTGTGGGCGGGAAAAGTGCATTGCAGACTTGGGAGCCAGAAAGTTCTGGGCCCCATCCAGCTGTGCACGGTCAGCAGGTCACAGCCTCTCTCGTTCTCACTACCTCTTCTGAAAAGTGAGGAAAAGAGTAACACTCACCTGGCAAGGATTCTGTGAAAACGAGAGAAGTAGGATTAGGATGCCCGGTGGGTAAGAACAGAAGAGTGCTGCAGAGCCCGGAGCCTAGCCACCTGGGTTCTTTCTAGCTCTTTCTCGGTCCTGTCACTTATTTATTGAGGAACCTTGGATATGTTACCCAAACTTTCTGGGCCTCTTCATCTGTAAAATGGAGTGAATAACGATCTACATGAAAGGATTCATGTGAAGACAGAATGACTATATGGAAAGGATTTAGAATGACATGCCCAGCACACTGTTAAGTTCGGGAGAAAAATGTTAGCTATTATTACATAGCTACATTATTACATAAAGCTGCCTGGCACACAGAAAGTTGAAACTCATTTAGTACGTATGTGGCCTCTTCATCATGCTCTAGGCCTTTACTTGGCTCCCAGCAAATCCAGAGGCCACAGTCAGCAGGGGTGGGATAGAGGAAGCAAGGGCAGCGGGCATGAAGCCTGGGTCTGGTGTCGTCCTTCTGCCATGCATCTCCATTGGACACAAGGGGCCCATCTACCCTTCTTCAAAGCACCCTCCCCTACTTTCCAGGTCCTCAACTAGTGTCCTAGCCTGCCCCATCCCTCTATTCACTAAGAAACCCTGCCAGTCATCACCCTTGCTGCTCACTTTGTTCTCAGCATTGTGTCTATGGTCTGACTAGGCCTGCAACCCTGTCTCCCTGGCTGGTGGGAGGAAGGCTCTGCAAGTGCCAAGAGCATGGTGTTTGCTCAGCTTAGTGGCCCCCTCCTGCTCTGTGCACACAGCCAAGAAATGCTTGTGGGTGACAACAACCCCATTCTTGCCCCAGATCTAGACAGAGAAGCAAAACTCCCAATTCTCATCAAACTCAACATTATCATTTTCTCCCACACCAGCATAATGCTCACAACATAGTGGAGGGGGCAATAAATGGTTTCCCTTCTGAGAAGAAGGAAAGACACCCGGGAAAAGACTTGATACCCTAAAGAAGCCAGACTTCCCTAGAGCCTCTTCCTTAGCTTGTCCTTTCTGCCAGTGGCCTCAGCTCCCGTAGGGAGCATGCTGACACTCCACCACCTGCAGATGACAGCTCAGTAGCCACAAGGCAGACCACACATCACCCTGGCTATCAAGAACACCATGCAGGCTTCTCTAGTGGCTGTACCCAATGTGAGCCAGCTTGCAAGGTGGGTGGGGGCAGAGGATAGAGAGTTGCCACCATACTGGCTGCAGCCCACCACCGCCTACAGCACAGCCAGAGCTAGGCCCATGCAGAAAGTGTAGGAACACAGCTTTCTTCAGCATGGGGCACTCAGCAGTGGGCCCTAGCCTCCTGTACATTACCCTAGGTGCCAGAACTACAGCGGGGACCAGACCAAGATTAACAACAAAAGAGAGTTCTTCTCTACTCATGGGAAGGAACAACATAAAAAGATATAAGCATTAGTCAGGATCAACAGCTAATAAAAAACTAACTAAACCCTCATGTGTACAGTAGATCAGTGACGAAAAGAAGGTTGGGACTCATGTTGTTTTCTGTCACACTAGGAAGGCCACACCCAGAGCCAGGAAGAAGAGACCCTGGCATCCTGGAACATAGCCAAAGGAGCAATGTGGAAGGATGTGGGAGTCCTGAGTGAATGATATGGACAAGGACGGGCATGACAGCTGATGCCCAAAGAAAAGAAGGGAAAGTTCACAGGATTCTAAGTGTGTCATGTTAGTAGCATGACGTCTGATGAGCTTCACTCCTCCAAGCCCTCAGTTTCTTATGCTGTAACATACAGACGGTAGTGACAGACACACAGGGTGGTTGGGAGAGCTAAAGAAAATCCTTAGGCAAAATGGGCCCCCAAAAGCTACCGCTTGACCCAGGCCCTATTCTCCCTAATTTTTCCACCAGAGGGAGCCTGGGGCCCAGCAGAGCCCAGCCTGTACCAGCTCTGCCTGTCCTCCCCCAATGCTGCAGCCTCAGCTGCTGAACTCCCACCCTGCCTGCCGGCGCTTCCAGCAGCAGCCTTCTCACCCACTCCTTATAAACCCTGAACAGGCCTAGCAGGGGAGTCGCTTGCAGCAGCACTGGTGACAGCAATGGCTACAGGTCCTCCTGACACCAGCAGAAAGGCGGGTGGAAAAGAGGGCAACAGCCTTTTTTTCTCCCCATCGAATCCACTCATCCCAGATCCATTTTTTCCAGTTCAAAACCTCGAGATGTATAAGGCTCTCTTGGCTTTCCCCAGTTCAGTATCTGACCAGGTCCTGAGGCCTAGACTCCTAGGGGTTGCCAAGCTCTAGGGAATAAATAAAATGCCGTGGAAACAGGCAGACTTGGATTCTAGTTCCAGCTCCATTAGCAACTAGTAGCATAACCTTGAACAAGGCCCCTTGGAGCCTCAGTTTCCTCGTCTCTAAAACGGAGTTGCTGATGCTAGCTAGCTACACAGGGTTTGCTGTGAAGTCCAAATGAAGTAATCATGGCTAGGCAGGCAGTTAATGTGTGATTGAGAGAAATTCAAGGTGACATGTAAACCCCTTTATTAACTCAGTAGGAAATGTGATGCAAGGAATTCCAACAAGCAATCTGGAAAGTGTATAGAAAGAAATAACCCAGAAGCAGGCTGCAAGGATGGCAGAAGGGCAAATGGGCCTCCAGCCAGCCAAGAAACTCAGACCCATGTCTGGAGGATGAAGAATCTGAGGGCAATGGAATTCTGAAACTGAGGAAGACTCAAGTCATTTCACTGGGCTTTATGCGAGAGTCAGGAATTATGTTTCCTCCAGCTCTCTCAGACTCCCACTGGGCCTCTGCTGGACATGTTTGGACAGCCACCACCCCCACTCCTTGAGGCAATCTACTGCATCACAGCTGGCCAGGTTGGAAAGTTCTTCCTGATCTGATCTCAGTCATTCCCGCTGTTCCTGGTTCCGCTCTATGGAGTCATACAATAATGAGGCTGCTCCCTCTGTCAGAGGCCTGATCCCTCTACAGAAGTCTCCAGTCCAGCTCAAGAATCAAAATGCTCCATTCAATCTTTCTCTGCCCCCAACCCACCATGATTCTCTCTTTAATGGGCCTTGATCTCCTGCATTCTTCTTCCGGCGCAGTATTCCAAGGTGCGCAGGTTAATCCTTTGGAAATGGGCTCCCAGAAGCCCTGCCTGGTCTCCAGATCATTCTGGGGCTGTCCCTCCACCCCAACACTTAGCTGAGGGTGCACTGCAGTGGAGCCTAGCCAAGCCCTCAAGCTGCAGCTGCTGCTCCTGGGGCCCAGCCATCTCAACCCAGCACCCCAGCCTGCTGCTTCACCATGGGGGAGTTGCAGAGGGCTGTCTCCCGGCAGATTTCCTGAGGCAGAAGGCTTCCCCACCCCCAGCCCAGCTTCCAAGAGACACTCCACTGGTTGTGGCACATGGTAGGACCAGCTGAGCAGTGAGAGGAGGGGTAAGCCTGTCCATTTGCTAAAGGACCTCAGACTTGCTCTTTAGTGTGGCAGGATTAATTACAGAACCTCAAATCTCAGCTGGAGGGGTCCTTGAAGAGCATCCAAGGCAGACATTGCCTTTAAAAGAGATATAGGGGGACTGACAGACTGACAGAGGAAGGGACTCAGTCAAGGTCACAAAGCCAGTCCACAACAGAGCTGGAAGGGAAACCCAGTTCTCCTATCTCCCAATTTGGTGTTCTTTCCAATACAGCAGAAAAGCAATAGGAGGGCCTTTAGGGCATCCCTGTGAACCTGCATGCCCTTGACTCTCAGCCTAATCTATTTATCTCAAAAAGCACACACAATGGGATCTACAAGGAAAAAGTGGACCCTGCCCATGTCCCATCAACTCAGGAGATATTGCCAGTCTCAAATAAATACACAGACCCCAGCACAGGAACTGAAGCTGATCTGACAGAGGGGAGATCTATAGGCTTCCCTTCCTCGTAGGGCTCTTTAAATGGGTGTTGTTTTTCTTGAAGGGTGGAGACCAGCTGGACTTTGAGAAACTAACCAAGGGCCCTAGCCTCCATCTTTGCTCCCTATCTTTGCCGCCACCAACCACCCCCCACCTCCCCACCCCCCCACCCCCGGCCAAGATGTGCTGCAGGTCCCTTCAGAGGGACGGTTCAGCCTTCAGAATTCATTCCTGTTCCTACCTGCCTCTCAGGAAAGGATGGAGCAGAGGCTGCCAGAAGAGACAAGATCAGCAGCCCCCCCCCCCCAAAAGGTGTGTAGGAGTATGTCCTTTGGGGCTTTCAGTTGATACCACCTTTGGCAATAAAAAAAAAATCTAACCCATCCTCTGGCAAGAATACAGCTGGGGGTTGAAGAAGTGGAGGGAGGCAGTAGTGATAGCTTTAGTCTCTCACTGGCCTTGGACTCGAGGGGGCAAAAAAGAGACGCCCGCACTCATCTGGCCAACCCAGTGTGTGATGGCTAGGGAAAGGGTGTCAGCTAGTAGAGGAAGACCTGGCTTCTCCACGTTGGGACGGAAGAAGCAGGAAATGGAATCAGGCATGGGCTTCACACTTATCTGCCACACAAGTTGGAAAAGGATCTAGAGGGGAAGGGCGGGGTGGGGGCTGCAAACACATTTCTTACTTTCTCTGGAGTGTTGTAGCCGGGCTGGTGCTGGTACTGGTACTGTGACCTCCACCCGCGCCAGGACTGGAGCTCCTGGATGCGCCACGGCTCAACTGGCCCCGCTCTCGCGGTGGCCGCTGCCCCACGCCCACTGACGCGGAATAGCCGACTTCCTTCTCGCGGCCCGGGTGCGCTGGCCCAGCCTCCCTTCCGCCACGCTCACGACCCAGGGCTGGGTTCTCGTGGTGCAGGTGGCACTGGGCCACGTCGCGCTCGCGGGCTGTGTAACCGGTAGTGTCCTGGAGTGGATAGGAGGCATCCCGCTCCTTGTCCCGATAGACAGCTTCCCGGTTCTGGTAGGCGCCGTCCCGATTCGGGTAGCCCACGTCCCGGGCCGCCTGGTGAAACTGGCTCTCCCGCAGCTCGCGGTGGTGGAACTGGGTCTCGCGCAGGTTCTGGTACTGGCTCTCGCGGCCGGGGCTATCCCGCGCGCCGAGAGGGTCCCGGTGCAGCTCCCCGCGGTGCAGCTGGCTCTCCTCCCGCAGGTCGCGGTTCTCCTGGGTGAGCTGGTCCAACTGGCCCTCCAGCTCTTCGATGCGCCGCCGCTGGGTCTCCAACAGCTGCTGCTGACTCTCGATGATGTTGTTCAGCTCCAGCAGGTACTCCACCGCTCGGTTGGGGCTTTCGGATCCCGGGCCACCCGGGGGCCCCGACCCCGCCTCCATCCTGGCGGCCCAGGGGCAGGGGAAGGGGCAAGAGAGCCCAGTCCCCGCTCGCTCACGGCGCCACCCTCCCCCGGGC